TTTTCAGAAATACCTTAGTGTTTTTCTAGTATTACAAAACCGAAGATTTCTAAGAGTTTAAAACTAAATTCAGATTATTACCTAAATCTGTGCCTTCTACAATTTTTAAAGCAAACATATTCAGATATCTCGATTCCTCTAGGTAAGAACCTTTCGAGAATTGGCCTCTTACATGCAAAATAAACAAGTAAATTAAAAGTTTCGACCACTTAGAAATCTTCAGTTTTCTAAGTTTTTGTTTTTATTCTCAGATGGTGCCTATATCGTCCGTATGAAGTTATGGTATTATTACTTTCTATGGCAAAAATGATTTGATTTCACATTCATGGCTTCTACACCAGTCGCTCTGATGTGTCTTGTTAAGACAAAATACGTATAAGCGAATAGTAGAGGCACTATACATGAAATCAAATCTTAACTGTCTTTTCTATTATTGATACTATATATAAACCACTCAATCATTAATATAAATCAATTCCTATCCTGACAACTGAAGCTGCGCAGCCCAAATTCAAATTATTTTCTGTTAAATTTCAAAAGCTTTATATCTCTACAAGATTGTTTTCCAAATTTAATAAAACCGATTAACTTTCAATTACCTCCAATTCCACTGACCGGACTATTACCAAACTCGCTAGCCAAACTCCCTCCTTGGTTCTGCTTATAAAACGGAGTCTACATCACATGTCCTACCAATTCTCCTATCTCCTTTTGGACACCAAATTCTCGTAGCCCAAGCTTCTTCCGATGTAACTAATAATCTATTTGTACAAACAAATCCTGTAAACATTTATTTCTGTACTTCTTCCAATCAACATTCAGGGAACACTACTATACTTCCTAAACACTTATTAACAAATTACTTTTACTTCCCACATATTACTTTTTTAGCTTTCAAAACTACCGGCACGCAATTCCTTGTCAGGCTTAGATGCTTTTCCTCTCACGGACAGCCAACAATTTTCCCTTCTTCTGCTTCAAAATATCCGCCAATCATACTAATTCTCCTTACCTTACCCTCTCTATTTTCAACCAATGATCTATTACTTTTTCAAACAAATTAGCAGAACTCTCAGTTCATACGAAATCCACCAAATTTTCCAGATTTGACAGACAAAAGCTACCGTAAATGGCTGTTTGTATATTCTCCATTGTTAAAAAAACCCGGCAGTCGGTATTTCTTTTAATTTTGAAACGAAATAACTTTCCAATACACCTATTTGTAAATGTATTGTTATCAGGTATTTAAATCAGTCGATTCATCATAAGCCTACAATAAGCCTTACTTACACTTTTTACACATAAAATTAAACCCTATAGGTCATTTCTCTAATTTTAGAAACATGTAGAAATAACATTTTTTGTTATTTTTCTCCATTCCTTTGTTTTTCAAACTTGTGAACATATTTGGACCATAAATAAATAAATGCAATTCCTTATGTCCTATCTTAAATCTGGACGTCTTCTTGGTGTCTTGACGCCTTTTGGATATCACAGTGCAGTTCTAGTGGACCAAATATTGTCAGTTCTTCTCGCGAAATGTCCCACAAACTGGTATTTTTAAGCTTTAATTATATGCTTCTTAAAGACGCCTTTTGTCGTTGTACGATAAAGAGCTTTACAAATAAATCCTCTTCGCAGATGAAAAAAAAAAAACATTTTTGTCTGGAGAAAACTTTTATTAAGCAAAACTATATAGTTTATGGACCCTCATCCAAGGAAATCTGCGAACTCTTGTTAAGGATCAAATGAGGACATTGATGGTTTGGAGGGAAGTGTCTTACATTTTTGTCAAAAGAGCGTTACAACAGCAGCGAAAAATTATCAGCGGGACATTTAAACAAATACAGTGGCGCTTCTAAACCACACATATTCCAAAATAGACGATGGATATTCCAACAAGACTCTACACTTGCTCCTAAGTCGAAAACGACAAAACAGTGGCTTGAAAATCATATGCCCGAATTTATTAATAGTGAACATTGGTCGCCAGCCAGTTGAGACCTTAATTTCCTCGAAGACTACAAGTAATTGTAGTTATTTTTAGAGGTCATGGTCTGTACAAGACATCACCAGAATTAAGAGTCATTGAAACAGGTTGCCTATGGATGTCATCCTTACAATAGTTTTCGTCCGAATAATTTTTCTGTAATTTGTAGTTTATTATATTAGTAATAAATTGTGCAACAATTTTTTAAATCAGCCCAGTAGTTTAATTTTTTTTAGATATATAAGTTAGGAAAGGTTTTCGCGGTTAGTATACTATGTACTAGGTTGTCTCTAATCACAAAGCCCGTTCCAAATTCATGTCTTCCGTTTTTGTTACCTCTGAAGAAGGTGGATTTACTTATTTTTATATTTCCATCGTCTGGCCATTTTATTTCTTGGACTGCTGTTATATCCATTCCTACTTTTTCCAGTTATTCCACAGCATTTATAGCAACTCCAGGTCTGTACCAACTCTGGACATTCCAAGTTCCAATATTCATATTCCTTTCACATTGCAATTGTCGTTTTTTGTGTTTATTTGTCCGATTTTGAGGCAAAGTTGCAGTTTTCATAACTAGTTTCTTTTTCCGAGGGGGGTAGTTAACCCCCCGCTCAACCCTCCTCTTTTATCCAGGCTTGGAACGGGCTGCAGTAAGGTGATTTTCGAGCTACTTAATCCACCCATTCCTCACCCTACCCCAGGCAGAGTTAATCAAAAGTAATTATAATTAATCAAAAATGCTGTTTAGATTTAAGTATTTATGTATTACCTATAGTACAGTTAATAACCTAAAGTGGTTGATGTTGTTATCAATAAAATAAAAAGCATTCCAATCCAATCTATTGCATGCTAAATTAAAGTTTGTCACTCTTCACCGATGTAAAACGACCTATTAAAGATTTTAAGTACACATGTGAAAATTATTTGTGCTAACCTCTATGTATTATACAAAACATAATTCGGAGAATAAAAATTGCAAAAGAAAGGTCTGGAAGATAATCCCAAATTTCAAAATAGTCGTTTAGACATTACATGACCTCTATTTGTAGATGTATTATTTGAGTTTATCGAGTGGCTGTATGTTTGAATATTCAATTTCGCAAACCACTGAACTAGGGATTCACTATAATCTAATTCCCTTGGTTTAGCTCCAGATATCTATAGATTAAATGTTTTGTTAGGCTTTACAGGCATTTCTGAAGCTATAACCATATGTGTCATTTAATATTCTACGCGAATTGTAAGATAAGTTTTAAGAATATATTATACAATGAACGATTAATGGTGAAAATAAATAAAATCTCCGACAGGATCGGAACAAAAGCAGGAAAAACATAGATAATATAAGAGGTCACACAACGAAATTTATTTGAAAAAAAAATGTGGAGAAGAAGATAGACCTATAAGACATTGAAAATAACGTAGAAAACCAGCAGTCGCAAATTTAAGAAGTCTTAGAAACGAAAACAATAATATAAATAAAAATTGGACAATAAAATCCCATTGTTTATGTAATACATTTTTAAATTGTTTCTATTTTAAAACTATTTAGAAATGGGATTACAATTTTATCCCGTTTTTATTGCAGTTTATGCAGTGGCGTAACAAACTCCGTCAGGACCCCACGCAAAATTATAAATGGGCCCCCCTTCAAAACATTTCAAAATGCGACTGGTGTGTAACAAAAACTTATAATTATGTAGTTAAATATCGATAGCAATTAAAGTAAACTGTATACTCAAGATTAATCAAGCCAAATAGGTAAAAGAAATAATAAATAAGACTTACAATCAATCAATATGCAAAGCATCTTCAGGTCTCGATGCAAAGTTAATTATATGCTGAAATAATAAAACCCATATTAGGGTGTTGTCTAATAAAGATAAAACTAGATGTTTATCTTGTTGTCCCTCTAAAATGTCTTGATGTTGTGTTTTGGAAATTGTCATATATTTTGTTTTATTAGCATTAAGCGTTAGTGAACTTTTCTCATTAGTATTTACTACATTATCTAAGATTGTCTGTAGATCTTGTATATTCTCTGCAATAAGTATAGTATCATCGGCATAGCTGATATTGTTGATGGGTCTGCCGTTGACTTTTATTCCAATTGTTACATTTTCGAGTGATTTTTTAATTATTTCTTCTGTATATAGATTGAACAATAAGGCGGAGAGTATGCAACCTTGCCTTAGGCCTCTTTTTTTCTCTACTTCCTTCGAAAGTTCTTTGCCTACTCTGACTTTTGCTGTTTGGTTAAGGTAGAGATGAGTTATTATTCTTAAATCTTTTTTGTCAATGTGTTTAATCTTTAAGTAACGGTATAAGACGGTTGTGTCGGACCTTATAATATGAATATATTGCTGTTAATTGTGACTTTAAAGTTTTGTAATGCATTTAATACTCATAATTATTAATCGGTGCACACGACAATTTTGTTCCATTGGCAACGTTCCGTTCTTAACGTGAAACGCTCTATAGTAAGAAAATGTCAAAGAATATGATGGGAGAATCTCAGTTTGAATTGTTTATTTATTGTTACATATTTTACATTATATTTTCGCTTGTTTTCTTTTTGTAACTAGATATACAAACATATTTACTTGCTTCATATTTACAATATTATACAGCATGTATTATTGTGACTGGAAAAAAATTCATCATTTAACTATTAATTTTTTTCTGACTAGTATTCTTAAGTTAAAGTTGATTTCATGTAATCGGATGAACTATCTTCTAATAAAAGTCGTTCCAGGAACGCAACTCAAAAATATAGAAAATATACTTAATTTTAAAATCATTAACTTTAAAATTTATAATATTCATATGTTTGAATTTTTATTATGAATTAGTCAAATAAAATTAAATTAGAAGAATTTTTTTACTAAGTAACAATATTTTGTATTTAGAGAAATATTTCCGAAAGTGGATAAAAAATGACAAATAAACTTATTTTAAAGTGAAATTGTGACTTATTCTTAAAATCTATTTTTTTTTTTCAGAATCTTGGGCTGGACACAACGAGAAAAAACTCCTCCATAAGCTACTAGATCACTACAACGTATTAGAACGTCCTGTTGCCAATGAATCTGATCCTCTTCAATTAAGCTTCGGATTAACTTTAATGCAGATCATAGACGTGGTAAGTAGTTTCTTCCTATAATACAGGGTGTTTTAAAAAGATATGTCATTAATTAAATCCCGCATTCCGGGGACAAAAATAAATTGATTGAATCCAACTTACCTTAGTACAAAGGTGTACACAAATAAAGTTACAGCCCTTTGAAATTACAAAATAACAATTTTTTTTGCATTATCTCCTAAACTTATTGACACTTTGTAATAAAAATAGACACGTTACTTTCTTGTTCTAAAAGCATTTTTCATAAAAAAGAAACAACAAAATCTAACCGCACAGAAAAATTTTAAGGAAGGTGTGCAGCCCTAAATCCCCCCAAACTTTTGAGTACGTTTAAATCAAATAAATTTTGTGGCATCATTAGTTTAACACATTAATTTTTAAATTGTTTTTGCCTCCTATCACTCTTTTCAAAAAACAGTTTTATTGAGTTACAGCGCTTTTAATTAACCTTTTAAAAATTGCGTGCAACTAAATAAATGGCTTAAATGAATTAACAAGTACCGGGTGGTCCAATAAGCCGATCGCTCGGCTATATATCAGAAACTATTCATGTTATAACTTTAGGAAAAAAAATTTCTTAATAAAAGTAGCCAAGAGAAATCGCTAGAAATAACTTTCAAGTTTCCTGGTTAACCGCTAGGGGGCGTAACCTGTGAAGAAAACTTTGAAAACCAGTTTTTTTTAGAAATATGCCCAATTATACCAAGTGTTAAATAAATAAACTAGAAAGAGGCCTTAATTCTTCACAAAGTTGTTCAAGCACTTTTTTTTATTTTTTCAAATAAAGGGTGGGGGACAGTGGGAAAGTATTTGTGGATAAATACCTATAACTTTGGATTGGATTAACCGATTTTAACGAAATTAGTGTCATTAGAAAGAGTGTGGATAAATTAATTTACATCTACTATAAAATAATCGCATTTAGTTTTAATTGTCATAGTTAGAGGGTACTTTTGAATAGAAAAAATAAAATTAGTTTTTCCTCAAAATGTTTAATGGAAACACCTATTTATTGTAAACTATAGTGGAACTGGATTAAATTCGTAACAAAACGGCGCAAACTGCATGTTAATAGCTTTTGTCGAACTCGAGATATGAAAAAAAAACGCATAAACGTAAGTAAGTATAGTATTGACTCACCCTGTATTATAAATTAAATTAAAAAATAATTCAGTAGGTACTTTCAAATTTTTTTATAGTAAAATGATCTTAATATTGATACATATTTTGACCATTGGTATTTTATATGATTAAAAATAATTTTTTCGAAAGTGTTATATTATAATCCGAATTGAAGATAACACTTTTTTTAATAGATATTAATATTGGTAATATCAGTAATTAATCATGAGTTACTAATAATCCGTGATGGGTATATCAAATGCAGAATTGTATGATATGATTGGAGTTTATTTCGAATGTCACCAAAATGCCGCTATTGCCTCACGTATATTCTGTAAGATATCCAGATAGGAGATATTATGGCAAAGAAGTATTTGAAAGAAAGGTAAAAAGATTAAGAGAAACTGGTACTTTTCATATTCTTGTTTTAAACTATGTAGTAGAGGTATGATTGAAGATAATACAATCAATGTTCTTGCTTTAATTCAACAGAATCCACATATAAGTAGTCGGCAAATCTTTATAGAATTAAACATACCCAAAACTACTGTTCTAAGAATTTTTAAAACATCACAGGTTGGTTTTTCATATTATAAAGTGAACGTTTAGGTTAGAAACTTGGAATTCCCTTTAAACTTTAGATTCAACTGTTATTCTAATGTTCCGATAAAAACGGCAACACGGCGCTTTCATCCTTTTATCTGTTTCTTAAGAATACTCATGCACGATTTATCTTGTTAAACAATTGTAGATTTTTCAAGATTTTTGTAAATATAGTGGTTTCTTTTTCACCAATATTTGTTGTTGTGTTTTTTTTTTAGACTGCATCCTTATCATGTAGTTCTCCACTAAGCTTTACATGAGAGAGATTTTGATGCAAGGCTGGATTACTGCAATTGGATGTTAGGTCTGCTAGAAGAACAATCGCGTATCATGTCAAAGATTTGTGAACAGACAAGGCTACGTTTAATAAAGCGGGTGGTGTTAATCTGCATAATATGCATTATTGGACTAAAAAAAAAATATGCATTCGATACATGAGGTGCAGGTTCAAGGTAGAAGGAGTCTTAATGTTTGGTGTGGTATAGTTGATGGAAAGATCGTAGGTCCATATCTCTTTGATATAACTTTAAATGGCGAAAATATTTGGATTTTCTGGAAAATCAGTTGCCTGTTTTATTGGAAGATATTTTCTTACAAACAAGAAGAGATATGATATTATAACATGATGGGTGTCCTGCGCACTTTTCCAGATGAGTTCGAGATTATTTGTATGCAAGTTATCCAAATAAATGGATGGGAAGGGGAATCTCCAGACTTAACATATCTGGACTTTTATCTGTGGGAAAGATTGAATGACTTAGTGTACCAAACTTGACCAACCACGCGAGTCAAGATGAAAAAGCGCATTATAAACAGAATAAATAGTATATCAACAGCTGAGATTGAAGCAGCTGTTATGTCTACGCGCGAAAGATTACATTTTTGTGTGAACAATGATGAAAAACAATTTGAACATTTAATTGGACATTAAGTTTTAATGATCGAGATGTTTGTATGATCTTTCACATATTTAATTTTTCAGTTATAATAAAGGGTGAGTCAAAAAGTGCAATCTTCAATTCGGCTTATAATATAACACTTTCGAAAAAAACTATTTTTAATCATATAAAATACCAATGGTCAAAATAGGTATCAACATTAAGATTCTTTTACTATAAAAAAAATTTAAAGTACCTGCTGACTTATTTTTTAATTTAATTTATAATACAGGGTGAGTCAATACTATACTTACTTATGTTTATGCATTTTTATTCATATCTCGAGTTCTACAAAAGCTATCAACATACGGTTTGCACCATTTTGTTACGACTTTTATTCAGTTCCATTATAATTTATAATAAATAGGTGTTTTCATTAAACATTTTAAAGAAAAATAAATTTTTAATTTTTTCTATTCAAAAGTACCCTCTACCCATGACAATTAAACTAAATTCAACTGTTTTATAGTAGATATAAATTAAATCATTCATACTCTTTCTAATGACACTAATCTCGTTAAAATCGGTTAATCCAAACCAAAGTTATAGGTATTTGTCCACAAATACTTTCCCACTGTCCCCCACCATTTATTTGAAAAAAATAAAAAAAAAGAACTTGAACAACTTTGTGCGCAATTTAGGCCTCTTTCTAGTTTACTTATTTAACACTTGGTATAATTGGGCATATTTCACAAAAAACTGGTTTTCAAATTTTTATTCCCAGGTTACGCCCCCTAGCGGTTAACCCAGAAACTTGAAAGTTATTTCCAGCGATTTCTCTTGACCACTTTTACTAAGGAATTTTTTTTCCTAAAGTTATAACATGAATAGTTTCTGATATATAGCCGAGAGATCGGCTTATTGGACCACCCGGTACAAACAATGTCTATAACGTCTATAGATATGATATTACAATAAATATTCAAAATGACCCCCATTTTCTTCAATACACATTCGATGTCGTTTTAATAAGGAAAACCGAATGCGCTGAAAAATCATATTTTGCTGACGAAATTGATTTGCAGCTTCAATTATTCTAACCCTCAATTGATGTTCGTCCTCTATTGTTACAGAATACACTTTCTCTTTCATAAACTTCCAAAAGCAAAAGTCCATGGGGTTAAGACCTGGACTTCTGGGTGGCCTACAAATAGGTGCGTGTCACGACCCCTTCCAATTCACCGACCAGGATACTGACAATTAAGGTATTCCCGGACTTCATTACTGTAATGAGGTGGAGCACCATCTTGTAGAAATCACATATTTTGCCTTATTATAATATTTATTTCTTCCAAATACTCTTGTAAATCGTTTGCCAAGATTTGCAAATAATTACCACCATTTAAATTGTTGGGAAAAAATACTGGACGTATTAGATTATTATCCAAAATTCCTGCCCAAATATTAACTTTGAAAGTCCTTTGGTGATGAGTCGTTTTTTTTTTGGCGTGAGGATTTTCATCGGCCCAAATGTGCTCGTTATGATGGTTTGTTATTCTATTTCTACTGAAGATAGCCTCGTCGGTAAACAAAATATTTTTAATAAAATTAATATTTTGAGCGTTTTCCATTAACAACCAATCGCAAAATCCAATCCTTTCAGAATACCCATTCCTCCTAAACGATGATCAATGGTCAGAAATAATCGGCTATCGGGTGTATTTCGATGGAGGTATTTTACTGCATAACGCCTTGCGGCTCTAGAACTCTAGAAAATATATTCAGCCAAACGAACTGGCAGAACAAAGAAATATTAACTGATGGAGGATGGATTAACTTCAGCCATCTAGATTTCCAGATGACATCGTTTTGATTACTAATAATCCTGCAGAACTACAAGAACTTACAAGCGACCTAAATACATCTAGCTATGAAAATGGCCTAAAAATTAACTTGATAAAAACAAAAACCATGTAAAACGAGCTAATGTGTGTCCAAAATGTAGTAATAAATACTGAACTTGAGACAGCAGACGAATACGAACACTTACCACAATTAATAAATAAATATCTGGCTCCCTATTCTCAGAAATCAACAAAACTGGTTTAGGCATCTTTTGGTAAAAAATGCAGTTATATTCAAATCAAAGATGCCACTCCACCTAAAGAAAGAAAACATTAGACCAGTGAATACCACCAATCATGAAACTTGGACACTAAAGAAAGAGATAGCGATGCTCAAAATCACTAAAAGATCGATGAAGCGATGCATGCTAGATATAATAAAGAGAGAAAAAAAATAGAGTGGATCAGACAGAATACCAAGGTCAGTGATGTAATCCAAACAATTAAATCTTTAAAATGGCAGTCAGCAGGGCATTTAGCGAGAACAACTCACAATAGATGATCCACTAAAAGTACATTGTGGTATCCAAGAGGCATCAAGGTACCAAGAAGACGTTTTATTTTAAGATCGGATATAAGGAAATAAGCTGGTACAACATGGCACAGAAAAGCGAATAATAGACAATCGTGGGCAGAAATGAAGAACAACTATGCAAAAGAGGCTGCACTATAATCGGTAGAATATGAATGTAGCGTATATAGATACATGATTATCACGAACACGAACACGAACGTCCTATCACTATTGAAAATAATTTAATTACAGCAAACAGCACTCTACACTACTCTCTACTAACGAACTGCTTGTAAAGCCTGTTGTAAAAACAAGGGATTAAACGTCGCTACCTTCAAAGACTTCTATAATGAATGTTACCGCGACTATAGTTGTTGTAGTAATTCATTTTAAAACTTTTAGATACTAGTTACTGAAAATATTTTTTAACGTTTTTGATAGAAGTCAATATAAATTACTATAAAATGTGCTTTTTTTACAGGATGAAAAAAATCAACTGCTAATTACTAACATCTGGTTAAAATTGGTAAGTTTTATTATTATTTATTGTTATCTTTAAAATATTTATCTTACGTTGTGATTTTTTTTCGTATTTGTTCTTTTGTGTTTTAAGAATACGTTTATTCATGCCTTCGTTTAGACATAACCACTAGCGTATTCATCATCATCATTTTGGCTTTACAACATTGTGTGGGTCCTAGCCTCCCCAAGAATTTTTTTCCAGTCGTTCTTATCCATCGCCTTCCTATGCCAAGCACTTATTCCCATATTTCTCATATCTTGATCTATGTTATCTAGGAATCTTGTTCTGGGTCTTCCTCTTCTTCTTTGACCAATAGGTCTATAAGGAGCGTTTTTCTAGCTGGGTTGGTTTGCTCCATTCGCATTACATGGCCTACCCACCTCAGACGTCCTATCTTAATCTGTTTTACGATATCTCGTTGCTAGTATATACTATAGAGTTCGAAGTTGTCTCGTCTTCTCCAGACACCATAGATTCGCTTTGGTATTTTTCAAAAAAATACTAAAACTTCGTGGTCAAAAGTTCTGTGTCTCTTCCCATTATGTGCAACACCATTTCATTCGTAATATGATCGGTCCGTGGTATCTTCAAAATTCTCCTAAAACGTCATATCTCAAAAGCTTCCAGTTTTCTCATTATGTCAACATTAACAGTCCAGGATTTGACACCATAAAGAAGAATAGAAGAACATTTTACCATCCGATATCGGATATATATATATATATTTATATATATCGATATATTTATATATATATTTATATATATATATATATATATATATATATATATATATTATATATAAATATAATAAACAATTGAAAGGACAAAAGAAAATAGCATGGCAAAAATACATTGAAACGGGATTAGAAGAAGATAAAGAAAAATACTATAGGCAGAGACGATTGGTAAAAAAGACAGTCACACAAGCAAAAGCAAAAACATGGAACGAATTTGGAGAAGAACTTCAGGAAGAATATATAACAAATAATAGAAACATTTGGACGACAATACGATACATAAGGCAAAGAGGACGAAAAGAAATAAACGCAGTAAGAGATACTTCAAACCAAATACAAATAAGCCCAGAATAAGTAGCTAGGTTATGGAAAGAATATTATGAGAAAAAATTTAATACCGAAGGGATAAATGAAGACAATATAAACAATGAAGGCGAAGAAAACACAGAGCTAGAGCAAATAAGTAGAGAACAAGTAATAGAAAGATTATCAAATAAAAATAGGCAACGCAGGTGGAGATGAAATTGAACCGGAAATGGTAAAATACATGAGAACATGTAAACTGCGACAACTATAGAGCAATATGTCTGTCATCGGTATGCTTTAAAATATATACGAAAATAATAGAGAAGAGACCGAGACAAGAAGTAGAAATGGTATTGAGAGAAGAACAAACGGCATTTAGACCGGGAAGACAGACAAATGACAACATATATATCATTAGAAACCTAATAGAAAGAAGCATAGATACTGAGGAAAAACTATTATTAGCATTCATATACCTAAGAGCAGCATTTGACACGATAGAAAGACATATTATAGGGAAATGCTTGAGAAAAATAAATGTACCTAATGCATTGATAACAATTATAGAAAGTACTTACAAAGAGGTAAATGGAAGGGTACAAATAACAGGGGAAAGATCGGAAGCATTTAATTGGAAGAGAGGTATTAAACAAGCAGAACCAATCAACTACAGAGAATAATAGGTTACCACAGATTACAACCGGTAACAATAGAGTCCTTAATGTATGCAGACGACATAGTACTAATAGCAGAGAATATAATGCAGAAAATAATGGATATATGGGTAGAACAAATAGAAAAACTTAAAATGGAGATAAACGAGGAAAAAAGTAAGATATTGATAGTCAGTGGCAAAGCAGATCAGGAAGATAATCAAATAAAGATAAAATGTAAAAACTCAGAATTGGAAATAGTAACAACTTACGAATATCTGGGAAGTATAATAACTAATTAAGGAAAAATAGACTGGGAAATAACAAATAGACTAAAGAAATCAAACAAGTTATACCATGCGTTAGCCCAATAATGGGAAAAAGAGAACTTACACGAGAGACAAGAATAAAAATATATAACACAATAGTAATACCGAATGTGCTCTATGCAAGTGAAAACTGGACAATTCTGAAAAAACATGAAGGCAGGATAAACGCAATGGAGATGAGACATCTAAGAAGGATAGTTGGAAAGACAAAATGGGATAGATTAAGCAACGAGACTATTAGGAGAATGGCCAACCAGGAACCGATAATGAACAAAATAGCAACAACTAACAAAAGAGACAAATGAACTGGTATGGGCATCTGATGAGGATGCAATCCAATAGAATAACAAGAAAAGTTTATGAAGCAAAGAAGATCAAAAAAAGAAAAAGAGGCAGACCAAGAAAAATGGATACAGCAAGTAGTAGAGGCGGGAAAACTTAAACAAAGATCACTCGAGGAATTGAAATTAATGGCAGGAAACAGAAAAGAATGGAAAAGGTGGGTAAATGGAAATTAAAATAGCTAGTTCAAATCCGACACCCTGATAGGGTAAAAGGAAGGGGAGAAAGAAAAAAAGAAAGAGTTCGGATTTGCAGATTGACTCTTTGGATACTCAGAAATTTCCTCATCTTCAAAAATGCTGCTCGTGATTGCTCTATTCTTGAGGGAATTTTTGATTTTGGATTCAGACCTTTCATAATCCAGACTCGTAAGCATTTCATTTTGTCCACTTACTCAATATCTTCATTTTTTGTCTAGATCCTTGTAATGACTCTGCCCTTCTTACTGATAACCATGGCTTTTGTTTTATTTATGTTTATTGTTAAATTAAACTGTTTCCCAGTATCACAAATTGTATTTAGTAACGTCTGCAGGTCTGTCCCACTTTCAGCGATAATGACTATGTTGCCAGCATAACGGATGTTATTTATATTTTCACCATTTATCTTGAATCCCTTCTGTACAGTTTTCAAGTGCTTGCGTAAATAACTCTTCGGAATATATATATTAAATAGTAATGGTGAAAGTACACAGCCCTGTCTTATTCCTCTACTTATCTTTTGCGCATCCGTGCCATTTCCATCTAATGTTACCACAGTCTATTGATTTGAATAGAGATTTCTCACTATGTTAATGTCATTTTTGTCGAGTTCTTTTCTCTTTAGACATTCCATGAAAATGTTATGTTTAACTTTGTCGAAAGCTTTCTCATAGTCTACAAACGCAACGAACAGATCTTTTTGTTCGTCTCGACATTTTGACGTCTCGACGTTTTGCTGGTAGCCGAAAAAAGTTAAACTTTACCAAAAAAATCAACTGCAGGAAACATACAAGTTTTTGTTACAAAAGTCCATACTACTAAAAACTAGAGATGCCACTTTGGAACAGGATCTGTTCTTTTTGAAACAGGTTTTTATTTGGAACAGGTTGGAACAGATATTGATCAATAAGTTTTCCTGTTCCAATATAACAGCTTTTATGACACAACAGACCATTGTTACTATTACTTCAGAGACCGGTGTTGAATTGCTGTGCTTTTATATGTTTGTTGCAGTTCCAGTGTGCATGCGCATAAACCATGATTGTAAACTGTGAATTGTTGACTCGCGACAAAACTTCAAACTTTCAAAATATACAACCATAAATACAATGGTCTATTGTTAATGCAACAACCTTTCTGGAAAAAACCGAACCGGTACTGAAACAACCCATAACACAGTGTTAGACTTGAAAAAGTTTGGAACTGAAGCAGTTTTTTTGAAACAGATAATTTTTGGAACTGAAACAAGTTGTAACAGTCGTTGAAAAATCCCTGTTCCAACCATCCCTACTCAAAACAACTGTCGTTCGCCTGGCCGCTTCAGTGTCAAAAACAGGATACTTTTTGCTTATTTCCCTATCTTGTTTATTACTTGCTACTTTTCTCACCTTGTACACACTTCTCTTTACAAATGATAAACTATTGTCATTAGTATAAATAAAACCAAATTATTTCTTCTATCAAGTTGTGTAATTTATATTTTTCTTTGTTATTTCAGGAATGGAACGACATGAACTTGAGATGGAATTCTTCAGAATTCGGTGGGGTGAAAGATCTCCGTATTCCACCCCACCGCCTCTGGAAACCCGATGTTCTCATGTATAACAGGTACGAAACAATAATTTAATATGATTTTGATAAGAATTAAAGTTAAAATTTGTTTTTGTTTTGCGGAAATTTGTCACTACCAATAATTTAGAATGCGTGTTTTATAAATTTCGTTAGCGTATTCCCAGTCTCTGGTTTTTATGGAGTTTGTGCTTTTACATATTTTCCAATGACGGAAAAAACTCAGTTGTTTGAATTCCGCAAGCCATATCTACTAAAAATAAGCATCGATGTTGCAGTTTTTGGAAGTACATCATTTATTCCTTAAACAGAATTTAATCCTTTTAATGCCCCAAGTATCTAGACCGAGTGTATTTTACTTACTTAGAGGAGTAAAAACCCTCATGGTTTGAATCTTATAATAAAATTATCTTTATTTTATGTTATCAAAATAACTATTAACAACATGTTTAATTACAATATTTACATCATTACTATCTTTGTTTTTAAGTTCAGTCCAAAATGTTTCGTCTTTTACAATATTAATACGTTCAGAAAATATTAAAAACTACTTTGAACTCATTTCTAACAACAATATTTTTAATATTTATTTTATATATTTTATGCCAGTCTCCAAAAATGTTACGTTTTAATGAATACGTAGAACAAGTTTATAAAACACGTTTTATTGAAAAGTATTTTGACCAGTGCGATGTCAAAAAAATATCTCTTACAAGACATTTTGAGGTTATGAATTCCAACCTGAAATTTACAACGCCGACTTTATAAATAGTGGGACATCTAGTAACTTTCACCAATGTCTTAAAAGTTTCAGATATCTGCGAAAAATTTTGCCGTGAAATCGATGATTTTTACATAACCAAACTGGGCTATATACCGATCTCACACTATGGTCCAAGTGTACCAGGACTATTTAAAAATTTAAGTATTTAACTACACTCACCGGCAAAATTAACGGAACACCTTAAAAATGGGACATGTTAGATGACTCGAATTTCCTAAACCTGATGTCCGATTTTAGTGATTTTTTTAGTATGTTATAGGTATATTATTTAAGAATATCAATGAAATAATATTGTTGCTAGACAGGTCAATGTCATTTTATACCGGGTGTAACAATCATACTGTGTTTTTTCCTTAAAGTTCGAAACACCCTGTGGAATATTCTAGCATATATAAAATATTGAAATTAAAGCTTAATTATAGTCTCAGGCTTTCTTAACATTTTCTTTTTTGATTAATTTGCTTGTGTTGGATAATAAAAAAGTTAGGTACGTTAGTACAACTAGCCATGTTTTTCATCAATAAATGCTCATTTTCTTCTTAGTTTCACCAGCATATTTAAAGGAACAACCATAAAATCTGAGTATTTTCTCTCTAGTCTATATACTGTTTAGATAATATCATAATACGAATGTTGGTGAAGTATTTTGAATTTATATTACAATGGTAGTACAATATAAAACCTGTTTAAGAAGAAATAAAACACAAAGATGTCAGACTCAACAAAATACGGATTTTAAACGCATTAACTTTATTGTACAGTTTGAACTTAAATTGGTTTTTTATGCATTTTTTTGGCTTTAATAGCGTGTGTTTCCCCTACGAGCCCTTACAACTGCAGTTATTCGTCTTCTCATAATTCTGATACCGCTATCGATCAGTTGTTGGGCAGTCTCTCCCATTCCTCAATCAAAGCAATTGTGACTTCCTCTCTGCTTTGAATAGCAAGAACCTGTGCCCTAAGTTTTCTGCCTAGCATGTCCCACATATCCTCTATCGGGTTTAGGTCTGGGGAACAAGCTGGCCAATTCATCGTTGTTATACCCACTTGTAATAAGAAATATCTTACACAGTCTGCGACGTGTGGGCTCGCATTATCCTGCATTAAAATAAAATTTTCGCCAATATATGGTGACAAAGGTACCACATGGTCTTGGAGAATATCTCTGATATACTTATCTGCTGTTAATGCTCCATCATCAATCACCACTAACTCTGTTATTGCTCCCAAACATATACCGCCCCACACCATAATTGAACCTCCACCAAAAGGTACGGTCGTAGTAAACTTGAAAAGGGCATTTCGTTCACCTTGGCGTTGATACAATCTTTCTCTACCGTCGATGTAATTTACACAGAAACGGCTCTCGTCCGTAAAGAGAATTTGACTCCAGTGGTTATCATTCCAATTTTGATGTACTTGACCAAATTGTAGTCGTGCTAAATGATGGTGTCTCTGTAGTCTGGGAGCTTTTATTGGCACATATGACTTGAGACCGGTTTTTTTAAGTCTCTTTCTTACTATGCGCTCAATTAAATACAAGTTTATACTTGTTATGAACAGACAGAATGACTGTAAAATGTAAAACACAATACAAATAAACAAATTAATTTAACATTTAAGACTTTCTTGTGACAAGGAGCTTTCAAAGCTATGTAGATATAGTCTATAAAATACAAATATAAAGAAATATTGCATTAATTACAGGTTCCTTTAAATTTGCCGGTGTGTGTATTAAATTGTTAACTTCTCATAGCCTACTTTAGGCTTGTTTATTAAACTAAGCAGAAAATGAGGATTTATTGATGAAAAACATGGCTAGTTGTTAACGTACCTAACTTTTTTATTATCAAACATAAGCAAATGAATCAAAAAAGCAAATGTTAAGAAAGCCTGAGGCTATAATTAAGTATTAATTTCAATATTTTATATATGCTAGAATATTCCACAGAATGTTCCGAACTTTAAGGAAAAAACGCAGTAGGATTGTTACACCCGGTATAAAATGACATTGACCTGTCTAACAATAATATTATAACATCGATATTCTTAAATAATATACCTATAACATACTAAAAAAATCACTAAAATCGGACAACGGGTTTAGGAAATTCGAGACATCTAACATGTCCCAATTTTAAGGTGTTCCGTTAATTTTGCCGGTGAGTGTATTTATTGTCCAATATAAAAGTTTTCTACCTTCCAACAGTAGAATTTTTACATGTAAAAACTTTCAAATTTTAATAACAGTATTCATTTGACTCTCGACCTGCAAACATCGCATCGATACAAATTAGGCGAAAGTTTACAGTGTGATTAAAAACGGGCTCCGGCCGCGTTTTTACCGTCATTATCGTGTATCAAGTGGATATACTATTTATAAACTATTTAAAAATTAAAATATACAGTTTTAACAATTAAAATGAGTGCTCCACCAGATTTATCGGTGAGTGTTCCTTTTCATACTGCTACTGTTAATGGTCAACCTATAAATACTCAATATCAGCAACAACAAATTCAACCAGAATGCCCAAATGTCCTTTTTGCACAAAATTCACAACCAAATTCAGCACAAATTTTAAACAATCCACCAACAACAATATATTATGTTCCTAACCAAGTACTATTACAATCTTCCTCAAACTGTCAATACAATCCTACAATAAATCCCACATTATCTACACCTCTAAATGAAGCTTATGATTCTATTGAGATGACACATACATTACAAAGTGAAGAATCTTCAGAGGAAATCAGCGACATTGAGTCATCGGACATCCACGAATGGCAAACTATACAACATAGTAACAAAAAACGTAAAATTAATCCTCCGACACCAACAGAAAACGAAGACACGGTAGTAACCAGCAATAAATTTCAGATTCTACAAAATGAAAACGAAAACGACAACAATAACAGTACAGAAAATACCAACAAAACTCCAGCAACCAATAAACCCCCACCAATTTTTATATATGGTGTTACTGAATACAATAAAATGGTTAATAATCTATCGGAAGTAGCAAAAACAGAGACATTCTATTGTACAGCATTAAAAAACAACACAATAAAAATAAATTCCCGGGACTCTGAAACATACCGAAAACTAGTAAGACATTTAAACAGCAAAAAAATTGTGCATCATACGTACCAGATGAAAGAGGATAGAGCATACAGAGTTGTAATTCGTAATCTACATCATACAGTGCCCATTAATATAATAAAAAGTGAAATAGAAAAACATGGGCATTTAGTACGCAATATTGTAAATATAAAACATAGAGTAAGTAAGGACCCTCTAATGATGTTCTACGTCGATATAGAACCTAATCAAAATAATAAAAAAATATATGAAATTCAATTTATAAACAACGCGAAAATAGTTATTGAGCCACCGTATAAAAAGAATAATATTGTCCAGTGTACCAGATGCCAATTGTATGGACACTCTAAGACATACTGTAATAGACCTTATCGCTGTGTCAAATGTGGAGGCAACCATATGTCAGCCGATTGTAAAAAACCTAAAGACACACCTGCCATATGCGCTCTCTGCAATGGAGCACACACTGCAAATTACAAAGGATGCCTAGTATATAAAGAGTTAATTAGCAGTAGAAACAGAGCAAGAGGAATATCATCGCACACTCCAGCGAACAATCAACTGCCATATAACAGAAATACAGTACAGAATAATCCGAACTTAAGCAATCAAAATCACGCGACTTACACACAAGCAACAGGTGGAACAATTGTAAATGATGTCCATAATAATACGAACTCATACAACCAAAATCAAGCAACTTACGCTCAAGTAACAAGTGGAACACATGGAAGCAATACACACAATGACATTGGAGAGATGATGAAGAGTTTCCTTAACGAATTCAAATCTATGTTTTCACAACTAATAAATCAAAATAGCGTGATCTTAAACATGCTTTCCACAGTGATAAATAAACTCAGTAATGGAACTTAAGTCACTACGAATTGCACAATGGAATGCCAACGGCCTAGGCAACCATAACACAGAAGTTACTAACTTTCTTGAACATAACAAAATTGATGTTCTACTCATATCGGAAACCCATTTCACTGACAGAACGATGTTCAAGATCCCTCATTACTCTATTTACAACACCAACCATCCTGATGGAACAGCACACGGTGGCGCTGCTATTATTATACGTAACACCATACCACACTATGAGGAAACAATGTATCAGACGGAAAAAATACAAGCTGCAGTAATCTG